CGGGCAGTCTCCAGACGTCGGCGCGGGACCCCAGCGGCGCAGACAAGCGGCCGCCGCCTCCAGGCGTCGGCCCCCTACACCGCCCTGAACTCGCTCACCTGCATTTTCTTTTTCTCTTAGCTCCCTCAAGCAGGGCCGGCCCCAGTGCCCGCGTCCCTCAGCTGTCTTCCGCGCACGCGCGCAGCCGCCGCCCCACCTCTTCCCGACCGGCCTTGACCCCGCCCCCAAGAAGCGAGCTGGGCGGAGCCAGGGGGCGGTGCGTTCTCTGAGTCTGCGCCCGCTTCTCTGGAAACCGGCGCCGAAACTGTGCGCGTGCGCGAAGTGGGGCACGCCCATGCTGCGTTCGTGTGCCGCTCAGCCAAGCCCCGGCGCTACCTTATTAGGGTAGGTGTTCGGCTTCCGAGCCGGGGCGCGGGTGGAGGAGGTAGCTCGTGGCGAGTCGCTTCCAGCCGCAGACCTGATCTTGTCCAAGAGGTTTCTGCCCAAGAAGTCAGAAATAGAAATGCGTTTCAGTGATCCAGTGTTACCATAAAAAATGATACAGGGTTACCTGGAATTCACTTATCCTTTCAGTGTCGTATAAGGCAGTTCATTCCTAAGACTTACGTTTATTGAGAGCCTATTACGTATCAGGTACTATTCTAAGCTCTGCGGTTATAGCAGTGATCACAACAGACAGAAGCAAGGGGAAAAGTACTTTTCACCTGGTTCAGCCTCAGGGATCCATACTTGCAAAAGTGTACACAGGAGGTACTGAGTAGAAATCAGCAATCTGAATTGTAAAATATAAATACAGGTGCTGGGCCCCAGTCTTCTGCCTACGCAGCACTCTGAATTTGAGTTAAGAAAGCAGTCTCGGTCAGTCTGGAAAAACAGTAGCCAAGGCATGGAACCTAAATGTCCATAGACAGGTGACTGGATAAAGAAGCTGTGGTATATTTATATAATGGAATACTACTAAGAGATGATAAAGAATAAAATAATGCCATTTGCAGCAACATGGATGAACCTGGAGATATTCTAAGTAAGCCAGAAAGAAAGAAATATACCATATGATATCACTCATATGTGGAATAAAAAAGAAAAAGAAAAAAGACAAGAGGACACTAATGAACTCATCTACAAAACAGAAACAGACTCGCAGACATAGTAAACAATCTTGGTTGGGGGGGAAAGGGGTGAAAAGGGATAAATTTGGTAGTTTGAGATTTGCAACTGTTGATCACTATATATAAAAATAGATAAACAAATTTCTTCTGTGTAACCCAGGGAACTATATTCAATATCTTGTAATAATATTTAATGGAAAAGAATATGAAAATCAATATATTACCTGTATGCATGGCTGGGACATTATGCTGTGCACAGAAATCGACACATTGTGACAGACTATACACCAATAGAAAAGAAAAGAAAGCAGTCTTCCTCCCTGGACACCTGAGCTAGGTTGCCACCTTCTGGCAACCAAGCAGACACAGATAATACAGACCTACACATCTCTAAGATATGTGAAGGACTCCCAACTTTGACTATGCATTAGAACCACCTGGGAGCCTTCAAAAACTGCAGCTACCTTGGGGCTCCATCCCCAAATTTAATCTCGGGAGATGGGAGCTGGAATTGATATTTTCTTAAAGAGCCTCAGGTATTGCTAATGTACACAACCATCGATATAAAATGAATCAAAGGATTCCTTGAAGGCGAGGAGCTTTGATTTAATTATTTACAAGGATTCCTAAGATTAACTCCTTCCCACAGAGTTATAGGTCTCTTAAAACATTTGTTTATTTACTTATCCGCAGCAAACTAAATGAATTTTCCCTGGTCTCACCGCAGAAATCGTAAGTCTGAAGTGTGTTTGACCCAATGCTAAGCTTTGCATTCTCCACTGACTAGAGTGGGTGCTGTTAAAATCCTTTCCTCATTCCCAGCTTTAGCTGGGTTATTCTCCTCAACACACAACGTGCTGAAATATTTCCAGTGTCAAAGGCAAAAAACCTTTCCATGACCCCACATTCCCTTCCAACCACAGGCATTCTCCACAGCTGCTTTCCAGCACAGCTCCCAGAGGACTGTGCTCAATGTCTCCACCCACACCCGCCCCACCCTCTTCAGCCCACTTCAGTCAGGCTTTGGTTCACCCGTTCAATAGGCTCTTGTGGAGGTCTCCCTGGACCCCCACATCGGGGAAATCCAATAGCTCATTCCCTGTGCGCTTCATCCTCTGCCCTTGGCTGACTGGACTCGGTTGCTCACTTCCTCCTTCATGAAGCCCGCCCTTTGCTTGGCTCCCCTGCCCCGCTGCTGAACCAATTCTCTGACCTCACTGCCAGCTCCTGGGTTGAGAGCCCCTGTCTCAGAGTACCAACCTTTTCTAGTAAAACAGGACTCTCTGCCCTAATCATACTGTTTGGAAAGACTCACAGCAGAGGGTGTGGGAACCTGTTTCTGGAATCCAAGCCTTCTCTCAGGTAGATCAGCAACAGAGGAACCCAGTACAAAGGAACATATATTAGTGTCATGCAAAATAAAAACAAAAAAAGTGCTCCTGTTTTGGTGTGATTGACTGAACACGTGCTTATTCATACCTGGATGTGCTGTGGGACGGAAAGGAGGCTGGGCTACAAGTCAGAGACTTGCACTACTTACTGGGTTCCAGCTGCTTCATGGTAAAACGTCCGTGATAAGTTAAGCACTTTGTAAGCCCGGAAAGGCCATGCCTGTCTAAGGTGGTGCTGCTGCCCGGGCAGGCCCTCAGCAGGGCGGTGAAAGGAGTTTGCTGCCACCACCGCCCCCAACAAGTTGTCCCAGGTGTCCTTTCCTTACCGGGAGCAGTGCTTCTCAAAACTAGCAGCAGCAGCAGCCCTTGAGAGCTCGCTGGAAATGCACGTTCTTGGGTCCCACACCAGACTTGCTGAATTCAAAGTCCTGGGAGTGCTCAGTGATCTGAATTCCGACACAGTCCCCAGGTGTTTGTGGTGTGTGGTCAACTTGGAGAAGCTCTGGTCTGTGGGGTTTGTGCTATTTGCTGTACGTCTCCCCAGATTTGTACAACTGGCCTGGTGGGTCCCTGAGCCAAAGAAAGCAAGTTCTCCAGCAGCAGCTGGCCCCAGGCAGCTCACTTGCGAAATAGTAACAGCGAGAGGCAGCTCCCTGCGGCTCTCAGGGAAACCCAAAATTGAATGTTCAGCCTCTGAGGAGATTGTTCAAGGTCATGTGGAGAGACTAGTCCTTTCCAGAAGAGACCAGTTCTTTCCAGAAGTGGTCTAGAGGGGCTGCAGGGCCAGGCCCCAAGCACTTCTGTGTCATTCCCTTCTAGATCTTTCTTTGCGGGTTGGGTTTGTCTCGGGACTTAAGATTCCTTCCCAGCAAAGTCCACGCAGCTCCCACCCGTCTACCCCCCATCCTGTGAGGAAATGAGCCTGGTCCTGACCAGCAGCATCGGAGCCATCTGGGAATTCGTTAGACATGCAGATTCTCAGGCTCCGCCCCAGGCCCACAGAATCAGAAACTGCACTTTAACAAGCCCTCCTCCCAGGGGTTTCTGATGGACACCAGGGTGAGAACCACTGCTTCAGAGACATCGTATGCCCCGGGTCCTAACTTTCACTCCCTTGAAACCTAAATTCAGGAAAAGATCTCAAAGAACTTTCTCTAAATTGGAAACAGATCAATCACCGCTTCCCCAGAAGCATCAGCCTTTGATAACAACAGCTGATGCTTACTGAGTTCAAGGCACTGTGCGTGCTTTCCATGCCCTGATTTATTTATTCCTTACAATAATCTATAAAGGCTCCATTAGCCCATTCTACAGACAAGAAAACTGAGGCTCAGAGCTATTCAGTAGCTTGCTGAAGGTCGCACAGCTAGCAAGTAGCCCAGCTGGGATTTAAACCCCACCAGTCTGGCTCCACAGCCCATGTGCTTAACCTCTACCCTGCCCTGCAACTATTTTTTCTTTCTTAATTTGTAGGTTTGAGTTAGAAATTCTCCACAACACATACACATCCTTGACATAATAAAATTGATTTCATCATGCTTTCAAATTTGCCCACATCCTTACTGAATATTTTGACCTCATATTTTATTACCTGCCAGTTAAGGGTATTGAACATGGTTTTGATGTCTGAGCACATTTCAGAAGCACAGATTTAAATACAGCTCTGATTTGAAGGCAGAACCATGACTGAAGTCACTAGAACAAATTTCTGGCCAAGCCATTCCATGTGTTAATCAGTGGTGGGGAGGTGACTGGGGACGGTCACTTATTTGCCTGCTAAAATCTCTCTACATGTACGGCTGTCTTTTCCAGGGCTCAGCCTGGCTATGTGATGATACTTAGAAAAAACAAAACTAGCATTTGAGTGGTTACTATACGGCAGACATTTTTACTTCATTTCTTATTTGATCTTTAAAGCAACCCAGTAGGACAGATATTATTAGCTCCAGTTTTCCAAATGAAAAACTGGGATTCCTAGAGTTTAAGTAACTTAATCCAGCTACACAGTTAGCAACTGACTGAAGCCAAGGGCCCTGGTGCACAGCCTTTTTGATCTTTGAAAAAATGATTGAATTTGGATTCAAACCTTGTTAACATTCTTCATCTTGTTAGGAAGGCTCCTACACCCTTTTGTGGTGTTGCCATCACTGGTTATGGTCTGGGAAGGATTCCTCCCCATATCTTACCTAAGTGCCATTTATGGCCAAAGTCCCAGGACCCTGGCATCATCCACATGAGATGCTGATTGAATGTGGCGTATGTATATGTCAAGAGGATGCTAACTCATACCCAGGCATGTCATCTTAACTTCCTGCGGCATCCTAGAGGATATAAGAAGGAAGGCAATGTGCCTAGGGTTTAGAAATGAAAATCTTTGCC